TTGTCTTGCTAGACCTCCGTTTGGCGTTCAATGTTGACCATAATATTCTATTAGAACAATTAGAGTAAGCTGTAGGCATTACAGGTACTGCGCTGCAGTGGTTTGTATCATGTCTATCTAATAAACTCCAGTTTGTTGTAAATGGAGAGTCCTCTTCACACACTGAGGTTAATTATGGAGTTCCACAGGGTTCAGTGCTTGGACCAATTCTGTTTACATTATACAAGCTTCCCTTAGGCAGTGTCAATTTGATGTTAAAGTGCAATCCAGAATCTAAAATGACTACAAAACTTTTAACTGGTGGTTATACCCTTCAGCCAGTGTCCCTAACACACATTTCAGTTTAGGGCCAGTTAAAATTATTTCAATTTTTTTAATTAAGGCTTAAAAGGTTTGCAGTAACTGATTTGATAATGTCAGTTAAACACAATGTTAGAGACTTCAGGACAGGTCATATTGCAGGGTACACTAAATCTGAGAAACTGAGTTATGACAGTAGGTTTAACAGCTTATTGACACTCGATTGGATTTTGTTCTCCATTTTATCCATCTACTTTTCTTTTGTGTGTGTGCGTGTATGTGTTGTCGGTGTTGTTTGGGGTTCTTTTCTCCCATCATGGTACGGATATGTTTTTGATTGCGCCATCATTTCATGCTCTATTCCTGTAAGTATTAGTTAGTAGTCCAATGTTTAGTTTCATGACCAAAGATAGAACCACAATTCTGTTTGGTTAGTTATCTGTCATTAGGGACAGTTGTCCACCTTCCTCCATTGTGGAATTTCTAGGTTAAAAATAAGTTTGTAACCTACTTGCTAACAATTGTTCGGTTACTGTCCTCTCAGAACTTTGAATGAGACTCAGCCGTGGACGTCACCTCAGGTTTCAGAGCGCTACCTTTCAGCTCATTATCCAACAATGGGCCAGATTAGCCCTCGAACACGCAAGTCGATGAGCCTCGACATGGGTCAGCCTTCACAGGCCAACACCAAGAAGCTCTTGGGTATGTCCAATCCCTCAGTTTTTGTTACATCTGTCAGTCTTTCCTTAGAAGGACCCCCCGAATATCTGTGTTAAATCTCCAGATTTCAAGTCTTCTGTGTGTGTGTGTGTGTGTGTGTGTGTGTGTGTGTTGGCTAGGCACCCGGAAGAGCTTTGATCATCTCATATCAGACTCCAAAGCACCAAAGAGACCAGAAATGGAGTCAGGCATGACTACCCCTCCAAAGATGAGGCGTGTAGCAGAGAACGACTATGAGATAGGTGAGAGTATAGCACAAGGTATTGATCCTAGCACATCCTTCTATGTTTGATATGATTCTGAAGTTTGTTCAAGGACATATTCTATGTGATACCTGATTGTTGTAATTACAGAGACACAGAGAATTGGAAACTCTCACCTTCGCAAGGTGTCTGTATCAGAGTCCAATGTTCTGCTGGACGAGGAGGTGCTTACCGATCCAAAGATCCAGGCTCTGCTGCTCACTGTGCTGGTGAGGAAACACACCATACAGCTTACTTTATATGCTGTTACTTTTCAGCTCATGTTCACTTTTCACTCTTGTTGTTGTTTTTCAGGCCACCCAGGTCAAATACACCACTGATGACTTTGACCAGCGGATTCTGTATGAGTATTTAGCTGAAGCTAGTGTTGTCTTCCCAAAGGTTTTTCCAGTTGTGTAAGTAATGAACATGTCTAGTCCTGGTTATCTTGAGGTTTACTTTTTTTGTTTGTTGTTTGACCTGAAAAATGTGACCCTTGAATTTTTCAGACATTTTTTGAGTATGAAGGTAAAGTCTTCATGGTTATAACTGGGACCCAATATAAGCAGACAGGATCAAATGGCTGCTGCCAGTCTTCTGTTCTTGTTCAGATTAGGTGAAATTATCCTGGGATCTTTTTGGACAATGGTTGATTTTCTGTAGTGGTAGGCCAGGCTTCATTTTGCTCTTAGATAGGGAAGCTTTCCAATCCAATACTTTGCCAATCCACCCCCAGACTCATTAAAAAGCCACTGTTCCATATAGGAGGCAGCTTGCTCAGTCTTTTATCTGAATGGTTATCAGCACCTTCTAACCAATATTTTCAGTTAAAATGTTAGTTTTAACAAATATATCCTACATCAGAACAGACGAACTCTGCTATAGGTGTTCGCTTCACTAAGATTTTATAATGCTGGAAGTTTTTTCTAATTTTTACACTCTTTGTGGTAATTGTCAGTGAAAATGTACCTCGATACTTTCAATTTACCAGTAAAACCCTTGAGCTTTTTAAAAGGCTAACTTGTATAACCGCATAACCATGTGCCCCAATATTGTTTTCTCTGTTCACCCTCTCAGCCACAATCTACTGGACTCCAAGATCAACACTGTGCTATCCATGTGCCAGGATATCAATCTCCTGAACCCTGTCCACGGCATTGTCCAGAGTGTGGTGTACCATGAGGAGTCACCCCCCCAGTACCAACCTTCCTATTTACAAAGTAAATTGATTTACAAGCTCTACACGCCAGCCTTCCTAGTTTTGCACTTAGTTATGTCACCTGATGCTGACGGGTACTGAAAATGGATAGAAGCTTGTAGATATTTATTCACTGAGTTGTCTTCCCCTGTTCTTAGAAGCTAAAGAAAAAAGAAGACAATTGGACTTCTTTAACTTTATGAAGATGTTTCACTACTTTCATTCCCTTCTCTTCCTTTCTCTCAATTCACAGGCTTTGGCTTTAATGGACTTTGGAGGTTTGCTGGACCCTTCTCTAAGGTACAAATAACATTTTCCTCTTGTCAATTAGTTATTTTCACTTGGGCCGCTTCAGCTGCCTTGCAGTAGAATTTCAGCTTACTAAGGAAGTACACAGCAGATCTACAACCAGGTTGTCAGTTGGTGTGTTGAAATATGAAGCATCAACTCTTGGAAGCACAAACATAAATACCAAAAAGTAGCAGAGAGGCTGAAAATGATCTGTGGTCTGCTTTCATGTTGATATTGGATTATGCCGCTTCGGAAAACTAGCAAAACCCAGAACTCAATAATACAGACTCCTGAATTGCATTGACAATGCTGACTAAATGACTAATTGACTGAATATTTATTTATTTTCTTATGTTTTTTAATTTTATTTTTAAACGTTGCCCATTTTGATATATTGATATTGAATGATTCAGCATGGAATCCTAATGTTTACACTTCTACTTTTTTCTGAGGGTGACTGGAATGTTTTTTTAGTTTTGACATACCAGTTTAAGATCCTGGGAGAACATATACTTACAAAACTTAAGTTTATACAGAAAGATGTTCAGGGGCCGTATGAATGTTCTACCTCTATCTAACAGACACTATCACTCAAAAACACACACAGAAAGTGTTTTATTGTCCTTCTCCATCAATTTCTTGCATATTTACTGCATAACATTTTTGAAATGTTTCAGTCGGGTTTCAGGGCCCACAACAGAATCTGCCCTGCTAAAAGTATACAATGATGTGCTCCTGTCAGTTTACTCTGGGACTGTACCATCCTCCTCCTCAACCTGCACTTTAGTGCTGGTATCAGCTGCAGAGAACTACACTGGTTCAGTTCAGTTTTATTTTGCTATACAGGACCAGTCACAACAACAGTTGCCTCAGGGCGCTTTACCTCATACCTGAAAAATTAAACTTTCTCTGTCATCATTGGAAATTATTCTTCAACAGCAACACTTTGCTGTGTACCTCAGGTTCCATCTTATCGCTTGTGTAGAAAGAGCATAGAAAAAAGTGCTTGTGCAAATGGGTGTAAATGAGTTGTTTAAAGCGATATATAAGAACCAGTCCATAGTTCAATTTAAATGAACTAAACACATCAGGTGTGAAAGCACCTTTAAACTCAGAGGGGACCGGACGTTTGCTGTGGTTGGTCAAATCTGCTCTCTCAATTAAGTCTTTTAAAACTAGACTTAAAACTTATTTTTAGTCATCAGTATTTGAGTTTATCCGAGTCTTTCTGCTCATCGCATCTCCTGTGCCTTTTTTGGGGCATGACTGTGTATGTTTTGCACCCCCAAATATCATTAGTTTCTTATTTATTTCTGTGTTCTCTTGTTTTTTTCCCCATTCTTCTTTTAATACAGCACTTAAGTTTAAAGAACTCTATGCAGTCCTGTATACGTGCACTGTTACTCCTTCCAAAAGAATTCAGAGTGTGAGTAGCAGCCAGGTGCTGCTAATAAAATGCTCTTGATAAACCAATCATCAGAAAGTGTCAGCACCTTTAGAAATCCAGTTTTGGCATTATTATTTATTAGTGGAAAGACTCAAACAGTTGCCAATCTTAATTTGAGAAAACTCATCCCGATGACTCAAACCATGCAATGGTTTGCACTTAGTGAAACTGCAAAATACCTAAAGGCAGGCTACAGAGGCCTCAGGTAGCATGTTAAATGTTTATGACAGTACAAGTAAAGAAAGACTCCAGTGTGGCTTGGTTTGGAGGGATTTCCAGAAGAAAGCCGTTTGTCTCTAAAATGAACATTGCAGCACTGATTAGGTTTGTAAAGATACATCAGAGCAAACCACAAGACTTCTGGAACCATTTTCTTTGAATAAACAAGAACAAATTGGAGATGTTTGTCATTGGTGTTGGCCAGAGGGGCCGATGGCGCGATATGGCAGCCTCGCTTCTGTCAGTCTGCCCCAGGGCAGCTGTGGCTACAACTGTAGCTTGCCTCCACCAGTGTGTGAATGTGAGAGTGACTGAATAGTGGCATTGTAAAGCGCTTTGGGTGCCTTGAAAAGCGCTATATAAATCCAATCCATTATTATATTTATTACTCTACAGTTACAAAACAGGCAGGATCATGGTGCACTTGATATGGACGTCAATCAACTCCTCTGTATATTCTAGAGTCAGGGACTTGCTGACAGTTAAACTTGGAAAAAGTGGGGGATGCAACTCGTCACAAAATGATTCTTCAGCACACCAGGAAATCTGCAACAGAAAGGTTGAAGAAAGAGAATTAGTTGTTGTTGAAAGCCCAGAGTCCAGCAAGTATTCAAAATAAAAAGTGTCTATGGGAGGTAATCAAATGTCTAAATTAAGAAAACCTCTCATGCGCACAGCAGTTTTGTCAACACCACCAACAGTTTGTTTTCATGACGCAATTAGTAAAGCAATGTTAAATAATTTTAATTATAACCAGTGAAACAGAGCATGTTACCATCCCATCTGAAAAATCCACCCGATAAAGTGTTGATTTTTATGCTCTTTCGGCATTTGGTTGCATTTGGTTGCAGTTGTTATGCAGACGACATTGGGTTTCACTGACTGAAGATGAACCTCGTCTGTGCTGCTGTTAGACCTTGTTACCTGACTCTGATGTTGCTCATTGTGTTTGTTGTTTGTGCAGCAAACCCAGATTCCAGACTACGCTGAGCTGATTGTCAAGTTCTTGGAGGCATTGATTGACAGCTACCTGCCAGCAGCTGACGAGGAACGAGGGGAGGAGCAACTGAGGACACCTACTTCCCCTCTCCGCTGTGGGTATAAAGCGAGGAAGGTAGAGGGCGGGGCGGGTAGGGTGGATTGACAGCTACCTGCCAGCAGCTGACGAGGAACGAGGGGAGGAGCAACTGAGGACACCTACTTCCCCCCTACCCTCCTACCAGCCAGAGCCAGCTTAGCATCACTGCCAACCTCAACCTGTCAAACTCGATGACCTCACTGGCCACTTCACAGCACTCACCAGGTGTCCATCTCTCTCTACAACAAAAAGCATACAGTCACTCTAACTCTCTGTATTAAAGCTTCCTGTTTTTTCACCTCGTCTACATGTTTTACTTCATCATCTAGTGAAATCAAATCAAAATGTTCTCATCCAAGTCACAGTCCAGAGAGAAAGCTGGTCACATTCTTGTACCCTATCGGCATATTACACATCACTTTTGTTTGAAAGAAAATTTCTTTAAGAATAAAGCACGCGCAGTTTTATAATAATTGTTGACGCAGTAATTGTATTTTCTTTACTCGGAGTCGCTTTTCTCTTTGAAGGGGAAGTTTAAGATGCTAGAAGAAATTATTTTGTGACTGAAATAAATACTTTTTTTATTTTCTACCCACACCAAATAAAGATTAGGCAAGGATATTGATCGGTTAGTTGTTTTTTCTTCATGTCGATGTCAATTCATGTTACGCTTGATCTTGTGTTGTTTACAAGAAGCTATGTTTTTGGTTTTTTACAACCTCTTATTTAGAGGTTTATATGTTTTGTTAGTTTAGGGTTTTTAGGTATTTTTCATTCAATTGTATGTATTATCATCAGTCAAACACGATAAAGAAGAACGGGTTCATGATTATTGAAGTTGCTCTAAACCCTCTCCTTCTCTTATAAGGAAAGGTTCTGTACTAGTGTTTATGTGGAGAGATAGGATTGGGATTTTTAGGGGTGATTTTACTGACTTTGACCTATCTCCTGTTAAAAACCGATCACTCTGCGAAATCCCATAATTGATGTATTTTTTCTCAATATAAGTCTCTGACGTTTTTCTTTATGTTACTCTATCCTTGTGTATCACATAATCCTTTTTTCTCACTACAACATGGCAGCCAATGGATAGCAACAGCTGTGGTTTAAAAAAATATGAGCTAAAATAATGGCGCTTTGTTTTCTACCCTTTTTCACCTTTTTATCTTTCTAGACAGCACATACAGTAAAAACAGGCAGCTCGATACTATTAATAGCTGAATTTTGACGAAATGCTAGCTAGTGTGTGTTCATTATAATTTCGATAATGAGGGGCGCCGCGGAGAGAAACGTGGAGAGACTCCGGTGCATTCATGGGCAGTGGTGGCAACCGGACAGGCAAGCAACACAACCTGTTTATGCTAATATGTAAAATGCATGTTCCCTGCTGTTGTAGGTTTATTGGATATTGATTAGCTGGATTAGCTTTTCCACAACCGGTGTGCCATAAAAAAAAATTGGGCCTATGTGTTGTGATTGCAGAGATAGTAAACAAAGAAAACCACTCCTTTTATCGAACCTCAACTCTTGTTCTTTGACATAGATTGCGCGTTCAACACGAGTGTTATGAGGGTTGAAGGAGGTAAGTGGATAACATGTTAAGAAGCTTAGGCTAAGAGGAGTATCCAACAGTAGAAGAATAGACAAGTTTTCTCCCCAATTTTATCTGTGGGTGATACAATGAAATAACCTTGTCCAATAATCATATTTTCAAACATTAAAAACTATTCTGTCTTTTATAAGGCATATACGCTCGTATTAGAATAGAATATTATATTGAATAACTCATTGAGTGCTTAATTTGATAGTCTAGTTATATTTGTGAGAGTTCTACAACTATAGCTAATGAGATGTATTCTAAGAAAAACACAACAATATTACAAACTCTGCAGGGTTTTTAGTGTGTCTTACCTAATCGCGAATAAGATTATTTTTACCCACACTCATCCATTATCTTTGTTCGCACTCCAAATCCTATTCAAAAAAATCCATGTAATTGTAAAAAAACAAGTATCTTACATTAAAGGCACAGAGACAATAAAATTAAGTAGAAGAACCTCTAATGTCGTTTGGCTTTATTTCAAGAACCAATTATGCATCAACAACAACGATGCTCTGTTAATTGGGATGAGAAGAGGGAGCGCCGGAGAATTACCGATGTATTAAAAGCCACAACATTGCGAGCTTACGGAAGGTCCGCCATGACCAGCACTCTCACTAGTCTAGAGAAAGGAGAGCCCGTGGATGTGGAGAGATGCAAGAAGAACACAGATCTTGCATGCTCTGTTATTGGTGCTGACATATGCTATACCTGTCTGGCGACGCAAAGCGTGCTTCTCTTTTTCGCAGGTAGCACCTATTCATTCATAGACTTGTAATGTTTTAAATTAGATAAAATTCCACTCAGAGGATATAGAGATATTTATGTGGGTTGGTATCTCAATAACAAATATAATAAAATCTCAAGAGAATTAAGAATAAAATATTGTTATATTTTGGTTTCTGATAGGAAAACACAGGTGCCGGACGACAGGGAATGCACTTTAAAGCCTGTCAATCACGTGATGTTTCCTCCAGGCTAGTAGAGTAAGGAGAGAATTCCAAAGTTTGATTTCGCGCCCAGCTCAGCGTTTGTCCAGTGAGAAAGGTTTCTCGTTGACTCGGCAATGGTAATACAGCACAGTCAGGTTCTTCAGAAAGAAGCAGCAGTGTCTGATCAGCTTCTTAAGAGCCTTCTTATGTATCTTATAGACAAAAGTAATTGTGTTCTTGATCGACACAAGAGAAGAACAGCTTGCGCCCGTTAATCTTACATATTGGGCTCACTCTCTTTTCTTCTGCCCCGCTCGTCGAACCTGTTGTCGCGCATGGTATCCTTGTAAGAGGACTCTTAAAATGCTAGCAATAATCTTTCTTATTTCATTTTATCTTTAACATATAAGTTCTTCCTTCATCTGGTTTTTGGTCTTTTGGTGTGTGTCATGATTTATCATGGTTAAATTAAGATAGTGATATTACGTTAATCAGTTGTAGTATTATTAAAAAGGAGCAAACATTAGTATATTTAACATTGAGCTGACTGGTGGGAAATATTATTATACTAATTAATAATTAAAAATATATTAATCATATAATATGTTTACAATAATTTCTCTTATCTTTAATTTAATTACTCAAAAACTTTTAAATTGTAGACAGTAAACTATATTAGAGACATCAAGGACAGGGATCGTCTCTCGTGCGAGGACGCAAGTAGTTTTGGTGGTGTACGGCTTCACATAAGATACCATGCAGCTGAGGGAAAAGCGCACTCGGGCTCTTAAGTTGAGAAATGCTAAACTAAAGGAATTACTGGATTGTGGGATAATGGATATGATGTGCGAGCTTTGATAGTGTTCGTCGCGATTTGTAGCAACTCAGTTCCTAAATCAGAAGTCTATGATACTTCAGGCATATTCCTTAGTCATGTTCCTCCAGATTAAAGATATTAGCCTCTGAGATGTGTGGTTCAGTCTGAGATGTAACTCTAATCGTGACCACCAGTAAAAGGTGATTGGTGGTGTGGTCTCTGTCTCGACAGAAAAGACGACGCTTTTCCTCTGGGAGAACATTCTCTCGTCGTCCCGCTCTCCTCGCATGAGGTGGAGCGTGGAATACAGGAAGTGGTTACAGTTAGCACTTGGTCTTGTTTTTTTTACAGGGTATCTCAGTTGCTTAGGTTCTCTAATTAGGTGTTGGACATGTTTGTCTGCGGAATCGGTGTGTGCCTTTTTTGTCAGGGCTTTCTTTGCGAATGGTAGTAACAATTTGTAAAAGTTAAACCTTTATACATATATCTTGCTGGTTTGGTTTATCATATATATATAGACCCCATGATAATTGGCTAGAATCTTGGAGCGACGTTCTCATCCATATCTCACAAGGTTCACCATCTATGTTCTCGAAAACAAGGACCTCAAATATACATCAAATATACAAATCATAACAACAGTTTTAATTGGGTAGGCCCCTCTGCTGCCTGGAGAAATATTTAAGTCTGGTGATTAGGGTAGGAGCGGAAATTAAAGATAACAGCTATATGGCTATTTACTTATAGCTCCCTTAATTGAAAATTGTGTGCTATTTCTCTACCACTCGCCAGAGCATTTTGCTATAACACTTATAGTATGCACACATCATAGGGACCTCTGCTATAAACTTAGCTGCGATTTTTTTCTCTGGGCTTCGGTTTTGGTAGTGATTGTGGTCTGGGTTCTCCTTCGTGTGTTGTTAGGTGTGGGAGAGTGGGATATTTATGTCATTGTATTCACTGCTATTTTTCTCCTAATTAAGACAAGTGGTACATAGCTACTTACAGATTTTGTTTACTACATTGGTATCTCTATGTATCAAGAAATTGAGTAATAGGCAATAATCCTCAACTGTGCACAAACTTTGCTTCACCAACCCTCGCAACATATATTTATCCTTTGTGTCATCGTGTTCAAGCGCACAAACGGACAGGAGAGCGTATATGCAGTCTATTCGATATAGTGAGCTGGCTGCAGTTGCTGGGTGCAAGTGTGTCGCTTTACGTCTGTGCCGTATTACTTGTTTACACAAATAAGAACCTTATAACTGGGCTTTAGTGGGGAGCAAGGCGTTGTTGTGTATGTGAGAGGTGATAGAATCATTTTCCATAGCTCTCAGGGCGCAGGTCCTAGTGTTTGGCCTTGATTGGTTTCAAAGCTCCCAACCAGTGTAGAGCGGCAGACTTAAACGGTCTTGTTTAGGAGATGATGGACTGTGAACTCTGTCGTTTTTTAATATTCCCTGGGTGTTTACGGTAAGAGGAGTACACACTGTTGCGCGGCTTCTGTACGAAGAGTGAGAAACCTCAACATAATAACTTGCGTGCAGCTGGCTCGAATTCATCGTAGCTCATGTGCTTTGCCTAGCGTCTCTCCTTCTCCTTTCTCGATAGAAAAAACGAAGGGCACGTAAGCTCGAGTCGCTGGGCCCTCGCGTTGCCGTTTGATGCTGTTCGCAGTTGATGCTGTTGGGCGCTCTGCAATCATTTCCAAGTTTCCTATAATACAGGTTATTTGGTTTTATATTGATCTAATTATGAGCTTTTATACTCTATGCAGCACAAAACTCGATTTTTAACCTATTAAGTTATCTTCTGTGTATGGTCAAATTGTTCGCACAACTAGAAAGATTTGTTTATTTGATCAAATCACTATGTTCCCTCATCAGCACACACCATAAACCGGGGAGGTATATACGAGGGAGGGTAAAATAATCTGGGCTTGTTACCTATCTTATCTCGTTTCTTCTTACTACAACACATATGATATTCTGAAAAAAGCGCTAAAAACAGACACTTTATGATATTAATAGGGCGAA